CCACACTCTTCTTCTCAAAAGTCATTCTTCTAATCCATGAATCAGGTTTCTCATCAGAGGGTGATGTCGGTGAGGATTTAATTGAGGGGAGGGGACGATGAGGGCTTCAAAGAGGAAGATGAGATATAAGTGAAAATTTAGGGGGAAGGAGAAGGAGAAAATGAGGGTGAAAATTTGAGAGAGGTTTTGATGAAGTTTTGAGGAAGGGAAAGGAAGATGTGGTTTAAGAAAAAGGTGAAAATAATGATAATTTAAGTTTAAGAGAAATATAATAACTAAAAAATATATATAAGAAGAGTATTTTAAATTATTGATTATTGATAAATACATACCAATTTTTAAAATAGTTTATAGAAGTTTAAAACATTGATCAATGGTGTATTATTGCATGTTGAAAGTGAATTATGAAGCATGGGAATTGTGATATTTTAGCATTAGACCCCACTTCAAGTGATGTGCTGAGCATGTCGCTCGCACATCATCCGCACGTGCTAATTTAGTACAACCAATGCTTGTAGGGTCCAACACACACACAATCTGATAAGTGAAAACAAATTTTCGAAAATATCTTCTTAACTTACTCCACTCTTTTCCTCCATTATACCAAACTCATAAAAGAAAATGATACAAGGTTGCTCAACTAACCATTACATGTAAGGATCCCCATGGATTGGATCAAATTTTTAGTCTAATCAAATTTAATTCAGAAATTTTTTTATCTATCACCCGATTTGATTCGGTTTTAAAAGGATTTATTTTATTTGAAACTTAACTTGATTTTTAAATAAATTTTAGACTCAATTTCTATAATCTTTATTTTTTTTAAAATACCTGACTGTAACATTTGAGAAAAAAGAAGTTCGTATCATGAGAAACCAATATAACCTACATGATGTTTGGTTGATGATAGGGATGTAAAATCAAGTAATCGTTCAGGTTTTAGTTGGATTCTATCAGGTTAGTCAAATCGGATATAGGTCGTGTCAGGTCAATTTTATGATTTGATTCGGATTAGGTCGGGTTCGGGTTAAATCAGTTCGGGTTATTTTCAAGTTGATTTGATATCAGATTCAATTCAGGTTAATTGGGTTCATTTCAGTTCGGATCAATATCATTTCAGGTCAAAACGGTTCAGGTCTGAAGCAGTTAAATACCAGGTTAATTCAGGTTCGTATGGACTTCAGGCGGATCTCGTTCAGACTGGGTCACATCATTGATAGACAAAATTCAGGTCGGGTCTTACCGAGTACGGATTGAGTTCGGGTCGAGTTATTTTTTGGTTAATTATTTTTCGTCTTTCATAAATGACGAATTATAATTTGTAATTGTATATGATTTGGAGTAAATTACAAAAAATATAAATAATTATAGGTCATTTTAATAAAGATATAATTTTAAGAACTAAATTGAACAAACATGAAGTTACAAACTAGAATTTAAATGAATTAAACAACACACATGGATGAGGGATCAAATCAAAATAATTATAAAATGTTAAGTTGAAATTAATATAAACAAGGACAAAACTGAATCCATTTAAAAAGTTAGTTAAAAAGTTTATGGGTTTGGAGATTATGATATAATTTATAGAGTTTGAAATGAAGTTTATTATTTGATTTATTGGGTTTGAAGTAAATTATAAAAATATAAATAAGTATGGGCCAATTTTAGATACAAATAAAATTTTAAGGATTAAATTGAACAAATATGAAATTAGAAGTTAAGATTTAAATAAATTAAACAACAAGTAGAGATCAAATCGAAATAATTGTAAAATGTGAAGCTGAAATTAATATAAAAATGGACTGAATTGCTTTCATTTAAAAAGTTGAGGAACAAAAGTTTATAAAGTTTTAAATTTTATAAAATAATTTAAAGGATTAAATTGATTAAACATGAAATTCCAAACTACGATTTAAATAAATTAAATAATATGCAAGGATCAAATTGAAACAACTATAATATATATATATACATAAGGAATGTTATGATACATCATACATGTATATATAATGTACATTACATTATAAAAATATAATGTATGATGAATATTATGGATTGAATTGAATTCATTTCAAAAGTTGAAGAAAAAAATTGAAACAATTATAATATATATATATATATATATATATATATATATATATATATTATATATAATATAATATATATGATGAATGTTATGATAATATGATGCATGTATATATATCATAATATACATTATATTTATGCATACAATATAAATATACTTATATAAGTATACATTATACTTATAATATATATATATATATATATATATATATATATATATATATATATATATATATAAGAATATGTGTAATATAAAGTATATAAAGTATAAGGATATAAACTATATAGCGTGTGTGTGTATATATAAAGTATATAAACTATAAAGTATATATATAAATATAAGTATATACATTAGTATATATGTATGATGTATGTACATAAGTATATATATATATATATATATATATATATAAGTATAAAGTATATATTATATAAGCATATGTATATATAAGTATACACATAACTATATATACTTACGTTTATATATATAAGTATATCATTAAACATAAGTGACTAAAATAAAAGATTCTAAAATTAATATTTACATTTAATAATTATGCACATTAAAGAAAGAAGGAAAAATTAAAAGTAATTAGAATGTATACATGATTAAATTGCATTGAATTGAAAATTTAATAAGTGATTTACAATTAAACCATGCTTAAATGAAAAAAAATCAAAAATCAAATAACAAAATAAAAAGTGCACATTGATGGAGGATTGCGGATTATTAACCCAAACCATTTCATTGGGCACTAAAACCTTCCAGCTATACCCGAAAATTTCCCTTAAAATATTTCCAAATTATAAATGCAAATTGCCAAAATTCCCTAAAAATTTTTCCCACCTCTAAATATGCCAATTATAAAATCATAATTTGCCAATTCTCACCTTTAAATTCCTACCACTCATGTGAATATTTGTTTTTGATTAAACTCATGTGAATATATATATATATATATATATAATTTATTTTAAATCGGTATTTAAATTTTAAAATTTTAATTTTTAATCTCAAATAAATTCATCTTTTATATATATTTTAAAATTGAAAGTTAAATTATATTTAAATTATGATTTAATTATTATATAAATTAAATTAAATTTATAAATATTTAAACTAATTTTATATAATCTAATAAAATCATGTTCAATAAATAAATTATTTAATTAAATTAAATTAATTATTATAATTAATATTTACAATATAATGATTATAATTAATATAGAAAGTAAATTTATTAATTTAATTATCATAACTAACAATTTATTTTAACTTTTAAAAAATAATCATATTAATTATCATAGTTTATTATATATTCAAAATCTCACAACTTCATCAAAATCTTACAACTACATCAATTGTAACTTATAAGTAATATAGTTTATTATAAATTCAAAATCTCACAACTTCATCAATTGTAACTTATAAGTCATGTAAATATCAAATCAGTTCAATAACAATTCAGATCATTTACAGGTTGGATCAATTAGAGGTCAGGTTCAAAATAGGTCAGGTAATACCAGTTATTTATCAGGTTAATCTCGGGTTCAGGTTCGTTTCAGTCGGATGCAGGTCGAGTTCGGTTATCATATTATCAGTTTAATTTGGTTTCAGGTCATTCTTAGATCGGGTGCAAGTCGGGTTCATATACACAATTTTCAGGTCTAACTCGAGTTCAGGTAAACGCCAATTCAGACTCGAGTCGGTTTCGGATCACCACCGCTCAGGTCACAAACAATTTTAACTTGAGTCGGTTTGAATCAATTTTACAAATCATATTAGCTTTTTTACATCCCTAGTTGATGAGAAAACCTTTTTTCCCCCAAGATTCGTTTAACGGGAAACTCATTGATTTAAAGATTGGTACAACTATTATAACTAATCTTTGTCTTAACTACGGGAAACTTGTTATACATCCCAAGTTAAAAAATATTTAATAAAAAAATTTCAAAAATATCACCTCTTTTTTAGTTAGAATTATTAATTTATTTGAATAAAGTTGTTATAAATAAATTCTTTTATCAATTAAGTTTAATTTAATTAATATTATTATCTGCACAACATAATCTAACTATTTCCTTCTTTTTTATAAACTTAAACACAGTAAAAAATCAAAACGTATAATTAAATTAATGTATCCCACAAAATTTTAAACAAAAAAATAATTGTCAAAGGTTTAGTTCCATGATGCAATGATGGTAACATCTCCATCGATGGTTTATGCCACCAAATTTTATGATAGACTTGATTTTTTTTATTGTTATCATTATTGTAAATCATTTAACCTAAAATAAAAAGAAATAACATAAAATACGTATAAAAACAATCCCTTAATTTTTAACAATAAAACATATAATTAAATTGATTCAAATTGAATTTAAATGAACATATTTAACTAAAATATAAATTGCATTATCTTTAAAAAATGAAATTGTCTATGAATATATTTAATCCAATTGCCTACAACCAAGGAGTTATAAATTCTCTGTTTTTTGTATACCTTTCACCAATAAATCAATGTCTCCTACATTTATTCTTTTTTCCTTTTTATAATATTATATTTATTTGAAAGCTAACACATTAATGTTTTATTTGAATATATAATGTCTCACTTATATTAAAAATGGAAGGGTGTTGGGGCAGCATGAGAAAAACACGTGATCCCAATCCCATTTGAGGAAGGTAGGGACTTCCCAAGGCTCAACCATAAAATACAAAGCTCTTCTGGTTTTCATTTATCGTTTATTATTAATTCAACAATATCATTTGTTTCTCAATGATTAAAATTAGTTTTCATAATCATACTTGATGGCGTTTGATTTTCAAAGGTGAAAATGGGGAGTTTTCTTTATATATATATATATATATAAAAGTTACCATTTGAGATTTTTGCAGGTAAAGTTGAAGGGTATATTTCCGAGGAAAATATTCAGAGAGCAAAAAAAAAAAGTTTATTTTGCTTTGCTTCTCTGGACATTCGAACTTTGGAATGTGAAAATGAAGATGAAATCTTTGAGCAGTGTAGGGGTTGGTTTGAGCGTAGTTTTTGGGTGTCTTTTGTTAGCTTTGGTTGCTGAAATATATTACTTGTTATGGTGGAAGAACAGGTTAAGAACAAACTCAGATCTAGAAAATGGTTTCAAAAACCCAGGTAGATTTCATTCATTCATTTGTTTCACATATTTTGCTGGAAAATTCCATCAAGTTTTCATGGCTAACTCTGCTTTCACTCCTCAAGAGATTAGATTTGCAGAAGAACAACAATGCCATCATCATCAGCAACAGAACAAGGATATGAAGTTGAAGCCTTTGAACGGGGACCATGGGAATGGGAACGATGAGCAGCAACCTGGGTTTCTCTTCACAATCGTTGAAGAGACAATGGAGGATTTGGAGTGTCTTGAGACCCCATATTTAACCCCTTTTGCTTCTCCACCGTTTTTTACTCCCCCGCTAACTCCGATCGATGCTTGTTTCGCTCTCCAATTCGGATTCAACCCTTTGTTTGAATCACGGAATGATGTAGATTTCGATAGGTTAAGTCCATCATCTTCGCCGAGGTTGAAGTTCTTGAAAGAAGCTGAACTGAAGCTTCACAGGGAAACACTGATGGAAGATGTTCACAAAAATGGCGGATTGAAGCTTTCTTCAGGTTATCTCGGAGATGAAGAAGATGGATCTTTCGTCACAATCATCGTTGATAAGAACAGAGGAGAAGTGTTTAACCACATTCATCAACACCAAATTCGAACTTCTTTCTCAGGTACTTCGTCTTAGTTAAAGTTAGCAATTCATGTGTTCTCGTCTTGTTTATAAATTTTATCGAATCATAATCAAGATCTCTATATTGCTACTTTGTGTTATATCAACTTTCATGTTGGTCTGTTTTTTCTTTAATTTTTTTTAAAAAATATACAAAATATAAATAGAACACATGAATGTAGAAACTATTAATTATATTTAATTATTAAATCAGATAAAATTACATCTAAATATATTAGAACTTCTGAGCTTTCAAATATATTCTTTTATGTATATAAAATTTTAAACTATATATATATATAAATTCCAATATATTTTGGATTTAAGAAAAATAAATATGGATAACATTAACTGATATAAAGCAAGTTGGAGTGTGGGACTAGAGATAGTTACATGTTTTTATTTCAATCTACCAATCTCCTCATGCAATTATTGTTTGTGTGAATTTGAGTTACCTTTGTTCTTCAGACCTCTGTAAAATTCTTTCAGATCAACCCCTCCTTTAAACAATCTTGTTTGTGAAGCTCAAAAATATTAAAATGTACATAATATGATATAAATATCAATAATTGAAAAAAAGGATTAATTAGAAATAAGTACCCAAATTATACCGCTTTTCTCAAATAGGTGTCCAGACTTTTTTTCTGATTCATTAAGGTGCCTAACGTCATAAACGTTATCACTTTAGGTGCTTCGATCGTAACAACTGTTAAAAATCTTCGTTAAGTGACACATATCACGTTACGGTAATTTAAAAAAATATTTAAAAAAAAACTTAAAAATATTATATTTATAAAACTCCCTAATTTATCTAAAATTACAAAAAAAAACCCTTAAATCTCTAACCATAACCCTAATCTTATATCCCTTTCCGACCACGACCACCGTCGCCGACGTCGTCCTTGCCATCTATGTAGTCAGACAACATTTTCCTTGTTGTGGAGTTGCGATGGTCATCGTGGAGTCGTCATATTAGGTTCGTCGTGGTAGCTTTGTTTGTCGCGATTAGGGTTCATCGATTGTTATTATTGTGATTGTTCATCAGATAACTGGTCGTCGGTGGAAACGAGGTTGGGTGGAGGTTCAATATACGAAAATGACGACAATTGATGTGTGTATAGGAACTAAATTTAGGGTTTTCAAATTTTGGGGAAGATTTTTAAGATTTTTTAAAATTTTAGTTTTTTTAAGAAAAAAAATACAATTTTAAGTTTTAATTTGAAATAAAAATTTTAAAATTATCTGAGCGCATCACGTGTCACTTAATGGTATAATTCAACGCCCATTACTTAACCAAACACCTAAAGTGATAACGTTTATAACGTTAGACACATGAATGAATCGAAAAAAAGTTGGACACCTATTTGGGAAAAACGGTATAATTTGGACCCTTGATTTCTAATTAAGCCTAAAAAGAATATATTTGACAAATTTTAAATTATTATAAATGATTAGTTTAGTTAAATTTATTTAAATATTTTATATTTAAATACAATTTTAATATTACATACTAAAATTAAGGGTTACAATCCACTTACACGATGTAAAAACTTTTAATTTTATATTAATTTATTACTGTTAGTTAAGTGGAAATAAACAACTGAGATTATCTCCTTAAATCTTTTTTCAACGAATATCTTTTTATTTCCTACTATTAATCTCAACCGTTTATTTTCACTCATACAATAATCTTAAATTAGTACCAATTTTTTTAATTTTTCATTGTATAACTAGATGTTACCCTCCCCCTCTCTCTCTCTCTCTTTCTATATAGATATAGAATAAAAGTACACATCCAATCCATACTAAACTGCTTAAATGAAATCGTAAAATGCGTAATAAAGCACTTAATCCGAGAAATATGTTCGTAATTCAATTATCAAACAGTAAAAAAAGTGTCACCTGACCTCAGTTAATATTACAACTGGAAAAGACTGCCGGTGGATTGCAGGAAGAACAAGCTCGCATAAACTGCTTTTCTGAAAGAACGTATTTAAACCCAAGGTTATCAAAATCAGTTGCATCGCTTCTCTTTGTTCACCGCTGCTCAATGGATCGACATCAGGAGTTAATTTTCCAGATACGAGTCTGTACCCTACAGACGTGAGGGCAATCTCCCAAAGCATGTTCGGTATACTCAATGTGTCGTAACCGGTTTTCGTCCGGGCACGAAATATTATACTTGGCGGGAAAATTGATGTGAGTAAATGGTTTTGAAAATAATTTGGGAGTCGCCATCGGCCTTTTGGGTCAGGTAGGTCGAATACCTAAAAATTATTTTTTAAAAGAGTTTTAAGAAAACATCAATTAAAAAATGAACTGATCTGCATTTATAACCAAAAATTCGTTTTTTTTAATAATAAAAAGGGATTCGTGGTCGGTTACGTTTAGGGAAGGATTAGCACCCCTACAACGCCCAAAATTGGTACTTTTTAATTATAAATTGTCTCTATTAAAAAATTTCAAAATATATTTAATTTATAATCTTATTATTTCGAAATTATAAAAATATTTATTTATTTAAAAATATCGGAAAAGGACTTCTAGGTGCCTTAAGACAGTTCTTTTCTTTGATATTAATAAATATTAATTTAAATAAAATTAAATAATAATTTTTATAATATTTAATTTAAAATACCAGAATAGGACATCCAGTTGTATTAAGACTGCCCTTTTCTTCGATATTGAAAAATAAATGTTAAAAATAATTTATTGAAAAATAAATATTTATTTAATATATATGTTTATGACTACATAATAATAATGAAAATATTTAAATATATAAACAAGTAAAATTAAAATAATAAAAATACAATTACAACTATATATTTAAAAGCAATAAAATAAATAAATAAATAAACATTTAAAATAAGTGACTAAATTATAGTAAAATTAAAATTAAAAACCTAATTCATAATTAATCAAAATTATAGGGATTAAACATGCTATTTTCTTATTTTATTAATTTAGTGACTAAAATAAAACTTATCTAAAATTCGAATATAAGATTAAAATAAATTAAAAAATATAAACTCGGGATTAAAATATTAATTATTAAATTTAAGGGATAAAATCTGTTATTTATCCTAAATATATTATTTTAATAAAAAGGACTAAAATAAATAAAACAAAAATTTAGAGATCAAATTAAAAGGATTATAAATTCGATTTAGTGACTAAAATGTAAAGTTTATAAACTAGTATGACTGCAGAAAGGATTTAACTATTAATAATTACACGAATAGCCCTCCCCAAAACGGCGTCGTTTGGGAATGGCTATTTAAGCCCCTAACCGGCTGGCCCTTCGGGCCAGCTATCTCATTTTTCTTCTTTTTTTTCTCTCTCAAACAGAGAGAGAGCCAGAGTTCTCTCTGGCCTCTCTCTATATTCCCTCACCAGAGGGAATCCGGCAGCCGTCTGCCGCCGCAAATTTCGCCGCCGACCACCGCCTCCGGTGGTCAGAAATTCCCCAAATTCACCTAAAATATAGATCTAAACACCCTAAGACCGAATCCGGCCTTTGTTTCCCCAAAAAGACTCCTAATCGGAGTAAATCTATGAAAATACCTTCGGTATTTTCTGTTCTCCGGCGATGTTTAGTGCTTCCGGCGATGGTCAAGGCTTCTTTGGTAAGCTTCTCTTCTTTCTTTTTCTTTTCTTTCTTTTCTGTTTCTTTGCTGCGTTGTTGTTGAGATCGTTGGTAGTAATTTTTTTTTAGTATCTTGTTTCTCTGTATCTCTCTCGGTCTCCTCCTTTTCTTTGCAGGTTGGGTGATGGATTTATAGCCATCACCGGTGCTCGTCTCAGACCGGTCCGAAAGGGGTTCTTCGGTGAGTCACCGGACTCCCAGTGGTGACTCACTGTTGGGAAAGACGTGTGCGGCTACGGCCGGCCTTCTGGAGCCTTCGGTAGACGTGGTGGCAACAGCTGGTGGGAAAGAGTGTCGGCAGCGGTGATTGGAAACTGGGGCGGCGCCGCGTGGCCCTAGGGTAATGATACCCTAGGGTTTCATCTGGAACCTTTCTGTGGACCGTTGGATCAAAATCAGATCCAACGGTCATGAAAAGCTGATGGCTACTGGTGATGATAGAAACCCTAAATTGGGTTTAGGGTTTAGCTGGGCCATTTGGTCGGGCCTGGTTGTAATCGAGCCAGAATTGGGCCTTGGGTTGTATCTGTAATAAAATAATAATATTAATAATAATAATAATATTAATAACAAAAACTAATAATAATAAAAATAAAAATAAAAATAATAAATATAATAATAAAACCAAATGTAAAAAAAACTAGTGTCTTCAGCTGCCCCTCTTTGCTCATTCTTGTGTTAACAAGAATAGGGCAAAGATGAAAAGACAATAAGTTTTTTTTTCATTTGACTTCATTTGATTATGATGGAGATGTTGAATAAATTCTTCTCTTTCTTCAGATGAGTTCTTCTCATTATGAACTTTCTGCTGGGGATGATGTTGACCTATTTCCTTCTGTGATAGAGTCATTAAAAATGTTAAATAAGCTCTTCTCATTATGAACTTCTTCTTTCTTTTTCATATGAGTTCTTCTCATTATGAACTTTTTCTGGAAAGGTTGATGCTAATCTATCTACTTCTGTGATAGAATTATGCAAAAGGTTGAACAAGCTCTGTAACATCCGCAATACCGGGTTAGTGACCAAATTGTAAAGTTTCAGAATTTGGTGACTAAAGTAGAAGAATGAAAGAATTCAATGATTATTTGAATATATATATATATATATTGAAGGTTATTTGGTATTTATTAAAGGAAATTAAGGGTATTATGGTCATTTGACCAGAAAGATTTTTTATAATTTTTTTTAAGGGTAATAAGCACGTATGAAGAAGAGTCCAGAGCATTCTTCAGTCTTCTTCTTCCTCCTCTCCACCGTGAAGCTTGGTATAAGGTAAGTGAGTCTTTAGTTGGTTAATTCTTTCGTTTTAAAGCTTGTTTTGATTCTTGGGATATTAAGAAAGATTAAGGAAAGCTTTAGGAGGCTTAAACCTCAAAGATTAACAAGTTATGAGAAATTAAGAAAAATGAGTTTTTAAGTGAATTTTTGATATGGAAGGAGTTAGTAGATTGTGAAGTTGAATTTGACTTGTCAAGGATTAAATTAAGAGGTAGGAAGTGTTAGAATTGGAATTAGAACACATTGGAAATTTGGTATGATTTTTGAATCTTATATGGAAGATAGAATTTTGAGGTTTAAGATGAAATAAATGAATATAGATTGGTTTAAGTATGTGCACTAGAGTTAAGGATGAAAAGGGGATGATATATGAAGTGTTTGAGAGGAAATGAAGTAATTTTCGGGTTGAAAATATGATTTCTGGGCAAGGGGAATCGGTACCCATTCAAGGGGAACCGATACCCCTTCAAACGAACAAGAATTTCCAGTATGTCATAGGGGAACCGATACCCCCATGGGGGGGGGAACCGATTCCCCCTAAAGGAAATTGGGAATATGGGTTTAATAAGTTAGTTTAAGTTGCTAGTATCCAATTGCAAGGTGTAGGTACCTAATGATGGTCTCGAAATGTACATTTATGTAGATTCTACGCATAAAGCAATTCCGGAACGTTTGGCAAGTAAGATCGATCAAGGGAAAGATAAGAGATTGGAATTGGCTAGTGAGGCCAGGTGAGTGCATATTAGTTAGTTTATGGTGCTAAATGGAAACAAGACTTGCGACAAGTCTATTTCCTATGTTAGAATGCATGAATATATGATTATACGTATATGAATGACATGAGTTGTATGTATGCATGAATATATGTGTTGACATGCTTTTGAATGTAATGTTATGAGAAGTATGGGCTATATAATGTATATATATATATATACATATGTGAAACTGAACTATGTGACTGCATGAGAAAGATATGAGCCATATGACATGATATAGGTGAACATGAGAAAGCAAAGTATGAGATATAAACTATGTGATCATAGAAAAATATAATTATATTATTATATGATAAGTGAAATAAGCTGGATAATATTGATCTATAGGATGAAGTGAAAATAGTACACTAACTAGGGGATTTGAACATAAATGATAAGATGAACGTATAAGATAAGCTAGATGGGAAAGATTCATAGGTTTAAATAAAACTATAACACATGGGTTGAATGATAGAAATTTGTGAAGTTATATGAGAAGATTATAAGAGCTATAAGAAATTGAATTAAGTAACAGATTAGATTATATATAGAAATAATAGAAGTGAGATATGTTTATAAGTCTGCCCTAGATGAATACGAAATATAAGAGTGCTATATGATTTATATTAGGATAATCTTGAGGATATATATATATATAGATAGATATGAAATGAAATGAAATGAGTATATGAATACCCAATTATGTGATGAAATGGTGAATTACCTGAACATGTGAATATATATGTTTAAGAGAAGGCATACGATTAAGATATAAGCAATGTGACTATAAGTATATGATACGAGACAAAACTTATGACTATAAGCTACGTGAAAGTGTTCTAGGTGTTTCGATATATTATATGAAGTATATGATCTTATGTGAACAAGATATGATAAGTATGTTTATATGAATAAAGGTGATTGGGTGAGAAATGATAGAAATTATATGAAAACATGACATATGTGACATGCGAATTATATGGAAATGATCTACGGGTAAGTGAACTACGTGACTATGTGATCATATGAAAAGAAGCTATGTGATACGTGATATGTGAAAGTGAATTACAAGTTTATGTGTATATTTGAAATGAAATAAATGATAACGCCCATGTTATGTGTCATGAGAGCTAGGGGTATAGTTGGCATGCCAAGAGTTGAGGGTTTATTCGGTTCTTTAGGACATATGTATATCCTTTGGAACCTGTGTGAAGTCTTGAAAGACACATACTTGATCCATAGTATATGTATATGATTCTTAAGGAATTCTACGTGGTCCTTATGGACATCATTCTACGGGCACTACGGTGCAATTCTACGGGCACTACGGTGCAATTCTACGGGCACTTCGGTGCAATTCTATGGGGCACTTCGGTGCATTTATACGAGCTGTGGTGACAGCATAGTGCACAACCTCTATAGACTCACATATCGATAGTTCTCACATATATGCATGGGCT